ATAATTAGTTTTTCGAGGCTATCCTTAGATCTGACATAAGAGATGTATTCACCATATTTATTTTCACTTTGTTTTTGACCGTTAGCTCAATTTTCCTACAATGCTCATGTATCCATTGAATTTCATATAGCCTTGAATCACAAAAGGTGTTCTTAGCCAGGCTGAAATGGACTGCAGTTGCGACCTCGTCGGAACTCGTTCCATCAGCAACCTTAGCTGGACTCGAACCCTGGTAGTGCAGCGTATAATCTCCACATACTGTCAAGCATACTATTGTGTGAAAAATTCAACTACCAGTCCTTCACACCTTAAACTAAATAGGGTTAATACATCTCTTTAACTATTTTGTTGCGTTTTAATTTATAATTGTTTAGTTTATTCATGGTCTCCATTTTTCGGCTAAAAACTACCCATTTTTATTGCCTTTAGCCTTTAGCAAATTATGCTATTCCGTAAAATTGTCGCAAAACGGACCGAAATTATTGTGCACCTGATTATGCTTTTCAGGAGCTCATTTGATTTCGTAATTCTGCCACTAACCTAATCATTTTACACGTTAATTTTCCTATTGAAGAAGCTATGTTGAACTCTAGATTCAAGCATAAAATAAATGATTTATCTTGAGCCCATCATTAATTTGTATCGTAGACTAACTGGTTGGCTGTGATGCTTCCCATCTTATAAATGCCGAATGATGAGTCACAAAGATGATATATTTTCCTTACCACATCTTAGCAACGGAGTCCATAACATATCTGAGTCAGGTGAATTGACGTTGGCTCCAGCATCGATGAGCTGACGAATCACGCGGGTGTTCTCACCATCTACGGCGTAATGGAGCACGCTGAGAGCGGATCTGTCAAGGTGGCCCAATTTGGCTCCTGCGTCGATGAGACACTTAACACAATCACTGAAACCCTGCAAATGGAAGAGGAAGAAATTGTGATTGACGATTGGCTGTCCAAACCATCTCATCAACGTAGATTATGGTGTTCACCAAAAGGGTTGGCTATTCGAAAAGGTACATAAAACCAAGAAGAAAACTGGATAATTGTATGTCATGTTGTATCAAATGTAACGCGACTTGGATGAGGTTTAGAATTAGTCATCCAGAACTATTGGTGGTAAACATTTATATTCCTTTGCGCGAGGTTGGATAATGCATATGTGGGT